TGGCCCATTTTGTCTCTGCCCTGACCTTCTGTGTATCTTTCACATATTTTATTTTCTCTTCCTGAAGGAACAGCAATTCATGCTGTATTTGTTGCATGTTGTCAGGTGGCTCCCGTCATAAAAGCCAGAATGATGGAGTACGGGACAACTATGGTGAGCTACCAGCCACAAGGGGACAAGGTCAACTTCTTTCGCATGGTGATCTCAAATCCTGCTGCTACCTTTGAGGACATCGACTTTCTTATTGAGGAGATTGAACGACTTGGCCAGGATCTATAAGACACATCTCTCCAAATCCTCTTGTACTTTTCCCCTTGACGGATGAATTGTTTGTCGTGAATGTACTGGTAAACTTATTTTCTTTTCTCTCAATCTTTCCTCCAAAGTCTCATATTTAAGAGTATATTTGAGAAAAAAGATCTGCAGATATATCCATATATTACGTATTGTAGCTTTGCCGTGGGCTGACTTGGTCCAAAGCTATGTAAAAGTGCTTCTGTCTGCTTCTCCTGTAGTGTAGTAGATCCCAGAGTAGTGTAAGTGACGTAACTTTATATGTAATTTTTGTGATATGAAATGCTTGTGCAATAAGTCGATGAGAAAGAGTTTATTTCTCAATCATTTCTCATTTGCCGAGTCCGTTGTTAAGTGCCAAACGTGGTTGTGTTCTATTGTAACTTTAAAGCATTTTAAACTTCTCGTTTAAAACAAAAATAGCACTTCACCTTACCTCAGCTTAATCAACTGCCTTTACATCTGCACATTATACTCAAAGCAGGACAGAACTCCTTCTCTTACCTGGTGTTGTTACGCAGTGCCAGCACATGTTAAAGACATAACCCAGCCAGAGCAGACTGCATGATGAAAACGTGAAAACACAGCAGTTCAAAGCATTTACAATCAAACCAGTTCACCACCCATCACCTCTGCCTTTGACAGTTCAACCTGCAGCTCATGATGCTGCTCTGCTTATTGATTATTAAGGCTTTTTTACTCTCTTTCTAATGTGTTTAGGCGATAAAGGCCTGTAAAACCCATGTCGCTGGACATTGTTGGCTTGCTACATGAATCCATCGAAATGGGATCCATTTCCATCCTTGCTGTATAATTAGCTTTGCTCCATATGTTAGAATGAAGATCGGCCCTTGAGCTATAATCCTGAAGTTTCCAGTGTATTGAACTGCATTGAATAGATTTCAGATTTTCTGCAGTAGTCATCAACTGTATTTGTCTCCTGTTACTGTTGCTATGTGTGGTAGTAGTACCAGTTGTTTTCCAAAGCATTTCACCTAACAACCTTATTTTTTCATTGCATATTTGACAGACTAACTGCTGAAAGCCAATCTGCTGCTTCCAGGGGCCATTACATACATGTATCCATTTCCTTGCACTGAGTAGCACACCAAGGTAGTAGTTGAGTAGACTTTTTTTCTCTTCTTGGAAAGGACACCAACTGTGCACATGACCAGACATGTCCAAGGGTCTACAGTTTGCTTTATGTAGGCTGTGTTGGGAACATTAGTTTAGTCCAAACAACATAATGAGTCTAATGTAAATTACTTCAAATTCTCTTAGAATTCTCCTTCACCTGTTTACCTTGACCGCTTGACATTTTCATTTTAAAGGAGGACAAATTAGGTAATTGTTTGACTATTTGATCACAAGCCTGATGTTCCAATACAGCTCCCAAATTAAATTCATTGCTCAGTAGAGGTATACCCCAAACACGTAGGATTACCCACTCCATCCGAATGAACAACTTCCTGCCGGCCTGCATCATTAATTCACCTCTTTGAGACTTGAAAAGGCGAAGACACACAAGGAAGCATGTTGAAATTTAGTCCTTGCCTTGTTTCTTTTGCACAACACTATATGGGAAGTATGACCAATTGATCATTTAGGCAAAGTGCTACCAAGGTGCCCCAAAGGGCATCATAGCCCTAGCTTCACTGCATGCCCACTGCCATTTATATACAGGGAATTTGCAGTACTAAAGATTCACTATGAATGGATCTGTTATCTAACTTTGTGGATATTCCTTGTACAGAGAGTCTATGTCAATGTTTGGCAAAAATGCCTATATATTTTGTTTTATTTAAAATGTTACAAATGAATTGCTTTTTAGTGCTGGTTGCAGTGAACCTACTGGAACTTGGATGTTACAGGGTACACGGTGCATTGCCCAGGTGGCAGTTTAAGTCATATCCCCTTTTTCCGCCCCATCAGGTTCTTTAATTCCAGTACCATCTCTGGGCACTGCTCCCAAAGCTTTGTGGCACCGAATTGCCGCTAGCCTGCCAAACAAATCAGGACAGAAATCTTAAGGATTATAACTTTAAATATGAAAGAAAAGATTTTCTTTTTGTAGTCACACTTTTGAACGAGCACTTACTGAAAGGTTGTGGATCTTAAGAAACCAAGAATTGGGCAATAATGGGGTATTGTTGGGATATAGGATCTTAACCAGATTTGCAGCTACTGTATACCTGACATTACTTGCACTAAATCACTGTTGGGAGGAGCCGCATCCCTTAGCATTGCAACTGAGATTTTGTCTTTCTGCATTCACAAGCAATATTTGAGTATGGGTCCAATATAGATATCTATATATATATACATACGCATATATGTATCCTGCATAATATCAAAAGGATCAATAGTAAATGATAATCAAGTTTCCAGACCAAACCCATGGTAGTTTGCAAAAAACAAGAACAAAAAAAGAAACCTGGAGTAAAAGCAGGCTTATCGTAGGCGGGTTAGTTGGAATGTGAACCCTGATTTATCAGGCAGAGGTTCTGTAGCATTTTCATTAGAACAAGTTAGAAAAGCACAATTATAGCTCAACATGGTCGGTCAGTGAACAATCACTTTTGATCATAGACTGTAAATAGTATTTCAAGATGTCCTAAGTACATATCTTTGTGTATACATACGTGTATATAAGACATTTAACCAGAGACTATTTGTGAGGTAAAGTTCTTCATATTTTCTCTATCTCCAATATAGATTACCTGTATTTTCATCCGGTTTGTCCAAAAGGCTTTTTTCCTTGTGTGTATGTATGTATGTATGTTCGATACTTGATTTGTGACTTCTAGCTATTTCAAAGATGTGTTTCAGGGACTGGCTTTAAAGAAACTGATCGATTTTACTTTGAAATACTTCCAAGTCTTACTCAGAGACTCGGGTGTTTGGATTTTCAATGAATATGCAAAGCCATTTTGACTCTGAAGCGCCGTGTTTTTCGTGCACAAGTGATACTTGACGGTATGTGCCAACTGTGTACCTTAGTGTGTTTGTAAGTGTGTTGCCTTAGTATGAATTTTTCAGTATTGTCTAGTTTTCCTCCAAATGGGAGGTTGTGCACTTTAGAGTATACACATGATCAAATAACGTGCAATGTCCGATGGTTGTCCATAAGTTGATGTTTAAAAAAAAATCTACTACTCAAGATATGTAATTTAAGCTCTTGGGTCTGAATGTGCACTGAATCGAGGGTCTGCCAGAAATGAAAGGATTTAATTTTTTCTCAGTTTGTAGATATTGTAAAGCTTCTCCTTTAAATGTTTTACATCTCAACGGAGAGTTGCCTAAAGTTTCAAATTTTTACTTTCTGTTTCGCCCCAAACCAAAATTGGCTTCCACACTGTGACACAGACAGCATCTGATTTATTACAGCGACAATAAAATCTCACTTTGGTAGTCTCGGAAAGCCAGACACTTTGTTTCTCTTGCTGCTGCTGCTAGACTTGCTTCCTTTGCACGACATGCATGCGATGCCTTGCCTATCCAGCTTGTTTGATATACAGTCTCCTATATATCTATTTATATCTATCTCTCTCTCTATATATACATATATACAGTTTGTGTAGCTCCTGTAATTAGCTTTAGTGTCCGATGTATAGCTTAGCTTGTAGATTAGTGCTGTCGCTCTAGCCTTTACATGTGATCTCTGTGTCTTGAGCTTCCTGTAAAGTTTCTTTGTGCCGCCAGCATGCTAACCTCGCCTAGCATTGTACTCCTCTCCGCGCTTGATCTGACTTTCTCTATCCTCTGTCTTTCTGCTTGAAGACTGTCGCAGCTCTGAACGTAGCGTATTATATCTATATGTGTAGTCCCTCAGCATGTCTTTCTGAAAGCTCCTCTCTGCTCTGCGCCTGTACAACCTTTTTCTCTCTTTCTCTTCCGCTTCGCCCTCTGGTAGCAGTGACAACGTATCCTCGCGCTTTCCTCTGACGTTTCTCGGCTGCCCGCTGTCGTTCTGTTCGCGTGTCTGAGACGGTGTGTTGGCTTGTGTCATGGTGCCCACAGTGTCACCGTTTCTGATGTTTGTTTCACAAAGGCCCTCGACTCTGTGGGATGTATGCGAAATAAATTTAACTGAGACTTTAACAAATATATAAGGAAAAAATAGACCCTAGTTTCTTGCTTATGAGAAATATTGTTTGTTTATAAGAACAGTTAAAACTCCCAGTATTCAGAGTGCAGATCATTTCACTGAATATGGTGCAATTTTGAATCATACATTCTGCAAACTGCTGTGCTGGCTTTATCAAACGTTCATTTGTCCTGAACTATATGTTGCTCTTGGGAAAATAGAAATAAATATTGCCAAAACAAACAAAAAAGTGTGAGTCTCTGTTATTTTTACTCAGACCTACAGTTTTATGAGTATTCTCACTGCCATTGTAGCCTGCAGCACTAATGAGTCCTCAAACACTAGTGAATGGAGCCAAATGGCTAAAACATCTAAACCTGCTTTCAGACAAAAAGCTGTAAAATTTTACAATATACACTCAGGGTCACTTCATTAGCAACACTCTGTGGCAGCAACTCTGAATGTCACACAGTTGGTGTATTTCAGAAACTGCTGATCTACTGGCATTTTCCCAGATTTAAGCAAATATGCCATCATCTGAACTTCTTGGGGTGAAAATGCCGTATAGCAGCAGAAGACCACACCGGGTTCCTCTGGTCAGCTAAAAACCATCGTCTGCTCTGATGAGTCTCGATTTCTTGGTAGTAAGATGAGAATATGAACACATTGATGCAACCTTGGACTATTATTATTTAGGTGCTAGTGTTGTTCCTAAATCATCATAATAATGATCGTCCAGGATCAGCATTACAAGTAACCAATGATTTTCTCTTAACAGTCTGTGAAGGTTTGTAGTTTAAGGAGCTAGGAAAGAAAAGCATCTGGACTTCTTTGCTTGAAGACGGTTCACCTCTCATCTGAGAAGCGTCTTCAGTTCTAAGGTCAAATGGTGGAGAGGCCCAGATTTAAGCCCTGTGGGAGTGTCCCTCACGAGCCAAGGTGTGAAAATGGGTGTAGGTCACAATCAGACAAGGTTTCAGGTGCGTTCATTTTGAAACCTAGCCCTACCCTATCATGTGATTTCTTGAGGTCAGATGACCCAGGATGTGAGTGGGCATTAAGGTATCTGGGAAGGGATCTCAAAACTGGATTATAGATTACAGACACTTGGTGTCATAAACCACCGCCTCTGTTCAAAGATGGCCATTCACAGTGGACATAGATGGCTTCTTTCACTCCTCTTTCAAGCCATCTGTCTTCTCTGTCCAAAATGTGAACACTGGTGTCCTCAAAAGAGTGACCTTTGTCCTTTAGATGCAAATGGACAGCCAAGTCTTGTCCCGTCGAGGAGGCAAAATCTGACCTTAGAACTGAAAAAGTTTCTCGGATGAGAGGTGAAACATCTCCAAGCAACTCAGAGAAGTCCAGACGCTTTTCTTTCCAAGCTCCTTAGACTTAGCAGTCAGTTAGCATTAGCAAAGAATTTAAATCAAAAAGAATTTAACGCTATTAAAACCTATCCTTAGCAAACTGACATGAGTAAAGTAAATCTGGCTGACAGCAAACCTAACTTGATAATCTATTTATTTCATTAGAAACATTGATAAAGAAAATAATCAAAATGATTACCATGAACAAAGGCATATCTTTTGTTTTTTCCATGCAGTGCAAAGCTATGACATCACATCAGTTGCAACTCTGTGTACCATTATCATGATACTGCAGGAACAATACCAACATGGCATGACGTTTGCAAAATTAGAAATTTCTGATCCAAACCTAGAGTTTTCAGAGCTACCTTTTCACTCACCACCTTATGCTTGATAAAAGTTTATTTCGGACTCATATTGGCCAAAGCACAGTGTTACATGAACAGAAAACATTTAACGTGTTACATAAACTGGGGGGAAAGTCCTTGAATGGTTAAGTGGGACATAATAAGCGGCACTTTTACAGCACTACAAAGTAAAAATGGATCTGCAGTGTGAGTGGAGGACTGTTGGCATTTATGTAATCTCTTTCAGACCTTTACAGTCATGGTTTTTATTGCCTCTTGAGTTATAAAGTCAAAATACAGTGCATGGACTCAGTTTTCAGACATCAGATGAATCCACAAGGCAGCATTCACATTGAATTTATAATACATTCCGATAATTAACTCTAAAACATACACAAGAGGGAAAAGAGGAATTTAGAACTAGAGTGTTAGATGTATCTCCACGTGTATAAATACATTAACAAGCAGTCAGAGCAGATTAAAATCCCTTTTAATAATCAAATGTGCATAATAAAAATGATCTTATCCAATACATTTAAACACCAAAAACTATAGTGCAAATATGAACACCCTCTAATAATAATGCAAAGCAGCACTGTCACAGTTTCAATCTACAACAGCAGATCTCTCTCCAAGGCCATTGCTCTATTTTGCACTACATGTGCTCCACATCGCTACTGTGGTCCATGAAAATTGGCTTGGTAAGTTTTGAATAAGCAAAAAAAAAAAAAAGTATTTCTGAGCATCTTCACTGGCAGGTTGCTCTCGTCCCTCTAGGTGTCACTGCCGCCTCACGATTTCCATCACAAGGACGCCACAGGGAGTTTGTTTCTGCCACCAAAGCAGGCGTGTCCAGCAAATGTGCATGGAAATTCTTTTCTTTTTTTTTTGGCAAATAAAAATTATTTTTCCTGTGTTGTCCCCACGAGTTGTTATTTTTACATTTGTGCTCATTCATTTCTGATTACAGCTTCCTTTTGAGTCCAAAGAAAAGAAGAAAAGATTTAAAAAGACATCCCGAGTAATGCGAAGGATTGCCAGATGCTTTGCGTCACAGTTTTTTTTAAAAAAAATGATAAATTGTATTGACTGATGTCTCTCTCTGACCAATTTTCACCTCACAACCAGACACAGAATCACACTTTGTTTATTCGAGCAAATTAAAGGCCCGATAAGACAGAGATGCATGATTTAAACAAAACATCTGGGGAGCTCACTATCAGCTGGCTCCGCTGACAGCACTCAGAGGAAATGGATGGTTTTAACATTACAAATAAAAACTGGAATCATTCAGTTAGTTAACTGTTTCCACACAGCAGGTCAAGACAGTTCAGCGCAGCCACTGATCTGTCTCCAACACCTGATTATTCCCCAAGATGTAGATGAGTAAGATAGATTATATTTTGCATCTTTGTAGCTTCAGACTTGATCAATATCTTACTCTTGAACCTTCTGTGGACCTGATTTAAACAGATAATCAGTTGTGTCGAATCTTCTTCCTGTATAGCTACGCTGTTCATAGTTTAAGCTGGCGACCGTGTTATTGTGTTTCCTATACCACAGCAAAATCATTATTAGCACATCTGGGTTGTATTTCTTAATGTTTAGTGGTTCTCTCTTGTTTGCTTATAGTAGCCAAATGCAGGAGATGTATCCAGATTAATTCTGTTAAAAAAATAGCCTCAGGGGGTGCAATAATTATCATTAAGAGCATATAATATAACAAAAACAACATGCTGTTTGTTTTCATGATTGCACTAATGGAAATGTTCGACTTCTATGTGTTTTTTTGAAGTTCTAATTTAAGAGTAGCAGAAGTTCTCGAAGTGAAACGGGTTCCTCTTCTGAGCACGTACACAGTAACTTCATTTGTTACTGTGGCCAGAAGTC